TTAATTTAATTTAATTTAATTTACTTACTCCGACGAAGGTCAAGGTAAAGAAAAACTTTAATATGCTCAAATTCAACAAGACAAACAACAATTTAGAATTCCACGAAGCTTCACTGCAACACGTAAATATTCTTCACRAATTCTATGCCTACTCTGAGCAACCGACTTATTCAAAACGAAGAGTTAGAGTGAGTCGACAAGGGTCATTTTATGGCACTCAATTCAACCTTGGATATGGCGAATGGTCGACTGATCAGTGTAAAGAAATGCGTGTGTACGTTGCGGTTGGTCGTTCCACTTGTCTTATTTTTTCGTGTCAAGTTTTGGTATCTCTTAGAAGTCAAAAAGTAAATAAAGTAGCTTTAAAAATTGTCTATTTTCTCACCCATGACTCTTACATTTGCCAAATTGCTATACTTTATTACTATATTCTATTATTGAAACTCCTGCTTTCTAGATGTTTCACTTATTTCAATTGTAACTTTATTGGTAATTTAAGTTTTTACATAAGCAAATATTTTCAGCATTTAACTGCCTTCTATGAAATTTATTATATTACCAATGAAAAGGGTTTCTGGCAAATGGTATTAGCATTTTTAAAGTTTTTTTTCGCAATTAGCATTTAACTGCATTTAATTCTGAAAAAAAGGTATTCATTATAAATGGGTAGCTTCCTGTCAGCTGTCATCAGCATTTGATTGGGTTTCTGTCAGCTGTTATCAGCAGTTAATTGGAATTCTGTCAGCTGTCATCAGCAGTTGATTGGGATTGTGACAGCTAATACATCAGCATTTGATTGGGTTTCTGTCAGCTTACATCAGCAGCTGATTGGCATTCTGTCAGCTGTCATCAGCATTTGATTGGGTTTCTGTCAGCTGTCATCAGCAGTTAATTGAATTTCTGTCAGCTGTCATCAGCAGTTGATTGGGATTCTGACAGCTTACATCAGCATTTGATTGGGTTGCTGTCAGCTGTCATCAGCATATAATTGGACTTCTGTCAGCTTTCATCAGCATTTTATTGTGTTTCTGTTAACTGTCATCAGCATTTGATTGGGTTTCTGTCAGCTGAAAAAGACACATGGTCATATTGATATATTGATATTACAAAGGAGGCAAATATACAAATGGTAATTTTGTTTAAAAAATATTACAAGTACTAGCATTAATTATTGGTTTTCCATTCAATATGGCTAATAATATTACACCCTTTGCTGTTCATTAACCACAAAGGAATATTCATCGAAGCGAAGAAGCATTGTCATTAGAGCGAACAGGCATACAATATTGTACTGCATAAATAAATGTCCAAAACACTGTATTGAATGTGTGTTGTGGTTTATTGTCTGCACCAAAACGCTAATGAAAGTTTGAAAACGTTAATGAACCCACGCAAGAAGCATATTCATGATTGTCAAATTCAATGCTAAATTTCTTAATGAACGTTCCATCGCACTATTGAGACTCTGTTCGCCTTATTGTATGCCTGTTTGCTCTAATGACAATGCTTCTTCGCTTCCATGAATATTCCTTTGCGGTTAATGAACAGCAAAAGGTGTACTATATATTGTTATGAGGCTAACTTAAGAAATAGAATTTATAAGAAAAACTTAGTGAAAAAATCTTACGATATTTCAATGATTCTTTAAACTTTACTTGGTAATGATGACAAGATGTCTTGGTAATTATAATGTGGTAACTTTTTGTTACTAGTTTTTCTTATAAAATATTACTATTAGGAGCCTTAACTGTAGGTTACCTTTGATTGATTTCAGGTTTGTCTGACAGGAATGTTTGGTTATTTTGGAGCAAAGTCCAATGATAATCCTAATAACTGCTTGGTAAGAAATGATTTATGTAGGAGCTTGTAGGGCAAAAGTAGTCTCATCTAAGGCTGAGTTCATAATGTAGGAGGGAGGGGGGGGCAGGTGAAAATTTGAAATGTCCAGCATAATTCTTAACACCCCCCCTTAAAGTCATGCAAAAAATACAATCCCCCCCCTAAGCAAGGCTTGTAACTTCTTCCAAAAAGTGTGCATCCCCCCCATTTTTCTGATAAAAATTTTCCCATCCCCTTTTTTTCATACCAAAGAAATTCGATGGCATTAGTGATTGCATGATCAAGCAATTACTCATTTTTACTGAAAAGGCCATGTGATTGACTCATGCAACTGTCCAATTTCACTTTCCAATTAATGATAAAAGAAGATAACCTGTTACATTGTATATGTTAATTGCACTTACCATATTATTATTAATCATGTTTTGGTATACCACTGAAACTTAATGGTTTCTTTCTATTTTCCAGATTGGGTTAATGATTGGTTTTGCTATTACTTCAATTGTCTTGGCTTGCACAATGCTTATCATTCAATCCGTTGCTTTGGCTGCTTTTTCAGCAAGACTCCGTTGCCCAAAAGATCAAAGCGAGAGATCTACCCCTAATTACTGGGAATATGATGAATGTGAAGAATACAGTAGTCAGTACCACAGAAGAAGTTTCCTATCCTATTTTACTGCACAGAAAGGGGTGGCAATTGGTACTGTTTTGCTTATTCTTGCTTTGGTTGAGCTCTTTGTGGGCTTCATATCGTCAATTTATGGCTGTATTTCATGCACTTGCTGTCCTCAGACTCCTAATCAAGTATGTATATTTTACAAAAATGAATATCTCTAATAGTTTTAAGATTATGGATGGACAGATGGATTGGACAGATGGATTTTGATGAATGGACTCAAAGATGAATAGAAGGAATATAGATGGATGATTTATTAATGATTTTGTCCATTCAATTTCAGTAAAAAACAATGAAGTCAGTTATAGACGGATTATTATTATTATTATCATTATTATTATCATTATTATTACTAAGCATTGCCAAGGACTTGAGGTGCAAAAGTGTGACTGATGATAATGTACATGCATATTTTTTTGCACCGCCTTTAGTTCATCAAAAAAACACATTTTGATAAGCATGCAGCCCGCTGTTTTTTTAAAGAAAAGTTGTGTAAAGCTCGTTTCCCAGCAAAAAGTATTCGAATACGTTAAATGTGGGCATACTTTTTATATCCTGCTGTAATTCGTACGTGTATAAATTTTTGTTATTTTTTCCCTAGCCTGTGAATCAGTTGGCCTACATTCAGCAACCAGATGGCAGTTTGATTCTTATCAGAGTAGGTGGTAGCATTCCTCCTGGAGCTACTCTGCAGACCCCCGGTGCCCAACCAGGACAGGTGGTACCATGTGTACAACCTCAGGTCAGAACAAATGATCTTTATATTGACTGGTTTTTATTCTGTGTACCCTGTAGCACAAAAACAAAAAATTAAAATGATGAGATGAAAGAAAAAATGAATGAATAAATGAAGGTACATTTAGGAACGAACGAACGAACGAACGAACGAACGAACGAACGAACGAACGAACGAACGAACGAACGAACGAAAGAAAGAAAGAAAGAAAGAAAGAAAGAAAGAAAGAAAAAAAGAAAGAAAGAAAGTACGAAAGAACGAACAAAAGAACGAAAAAACAAAAGAATGAACGAACAAATGAACGAACGAACCAACCAACCAACCAACCATAGAGCGAACGAACGAAAGAAAGTACGAAAGAACGAGCAACCATGCGGCTCAGGCTGTGTGCAAGCCAATCGGAAAGCGAGATACAGGATGCAGTTTGCCAATTGCAATTTGCCAATTGTGAATTAAATGATAAAATACCTTTATTATGTTAGCCGTTGTGTTGGTTAAAGATAACAAAGCAATCCTCATTAACTTCTCTTGGACTTCTTTTCTTTCGTTAAATCCACCAACATGGCGGCTGTTTTGATATTATCTCAAGAGATTTTGATTCATATGGATTCACCACAAGAAAAAAGTATGACCCTAAAATTCACTTCCAAATTTATCGTTATAGCAAGGATATGCTGCCTCGGCACAAGAATATTCAGTGCAAGGTTATCAAGGAGATCCTGGTCGTGGTAGTGGTGGTACACAGATGAAACCAGAATAAGACTTACCTCCGCCCTATAACAACGTTGTGCAGTCATGAATAAATTACAATGCTTTTGTAGTCTACCAAGCGTTTATGTTCAAAAAACAAATATAGCAGAGGTAGAGAATAGCCTGCGTTAATAAGTTAAACGTAGACGACCTAGAACACATAGAACACTGAAGACTAGTGCGCTTAAGTGCCGAAAAGGTAAAGGAGAAGAAAGAACGAAAGAAAGAACAGAAAAAGAAGACAACAAAATAGCAAAACAGCAGCAGCAGTAGCAGCATTCAGTATCATGTTCACTAGACACAAATAGGATACTGATAGAAAAGATATACATATAACCAGAACAAGACTAGTACTAGTACGCAAGAGGATTGAAAACAGGAGAAAAGATCTAAGAATTGCAATGACAGCAGACTAGTACTATAATTGCACAAGAAGAAAGAAGATAAGTCGATAAAATAGCTTAATTGCACGACAGCGACAAGAAAGAAGYGATTCAAATGCAAGAAAGAAAGAAAAGTGCCCTTAAAGCCTTTATTAGGGACCTTAAAGACCCATTACCACTTACCGTGATGCATTACAATTTGTTTACATTTTGAATCATGTCACCACTGAAAAAACAATTCTAACCTTTTGAATAAACTCTTAAAAGAATGTAAAAGAATCAT